GTAAAAAGTTGACGTCAGAACTACACAGTCACCGCCTTCAGTCACCACCCCGAGCACCGCCCACCGTCCCACTCTCCTCTTGCCAAACCCCCAGACAACATCGTGTCCATGCCATTGCTGAGCAACAACAACACGGAAACATGTCGAAAAGGTTAACTTTAACAACGAAATCAGATCGGCCGACCTGTAACTTTACACTCTCACTCAAAGGATGGACAATCTGACAGGATTGTTACTACGAGGTGGATCACATCTAACATGTATAGTAAAGACAAACTCACTAGTCTATCTAGTCATGATGATGTATATACATTTCAATTTCAGCAGGCAACTATTTTTACAGCTACATTATTGTTCCAGCCACAATTAATCGCAACAATGTATATACAATTACAAATGATTATATATAAATTGTCAGTTTGTTGTTTTACACACATCCACACAGACATGATTTCATACGACATAGTCGTGAGATGCAAGAAACAGACATATGGCAAGAAATCTGTAGACGCGCCCATAACAACAAAAGACAATACTTTATTGAACCTTTTCTGATAAGTGTGCGATGCAAACGCAAGCATTTTTGACGATCGTTTCTGTCCAGTCCGCTCGTTTTATCGCGTTTAACCACAGCTGTCGTAATTTTTTTTGTCTGGCAGTGGCAGCAGATATGCGATCAAATTTCTAATTTGAGGCTGTATTACGTCAATTCTGGCACCCAACATCACAACAAGATGATATTTTAAGCTCCTTATGTAGTCGAATCTGTGCTGGTTTGAATGGGCCACCTCCAGTTTCCTCTTTGTTTTGCTGCCTCAAGCTAGCACTGTGACATCGGCTGACCCTAGTTACCTGTGGTTGGCCTGGCCGTGCGTATATATAACCGTATTCGATTACCACGATTTGAACAACTGAGGATAAATACTGTCCAGCACAGGGCTCCAGAGTGCGACCAAATGGGCACATTTTGCGATCATTTTTTTCTGCCAGTGTGACACATTTTTGTGCACTGGCACGACCGACCACAGCATTGTTTAACTCATAAGCACTGCCATTTCTGTTGCATATGAGACATATAT